GCAGAAAAAAAAAAGGTTCGATGTGGTGGGCCCTAAGCACAGTTCCCACGGGGGAACCTGCTCTGATACCATGAGAAAGTTAGAACGAGAATGAAATGACTATGAATGAAGTGAGTACAAATAGGAAACTCTAGTTGGGTTCTACCCCCTATGGGATGCCCCACTATAGCCTACACAAATAAGTAAGCTATAATATTCTGACAAGAATTGTGTTTGGTGTGGTTTGGATTTTTTAGTATGTGTGAATATCATTTGGCTTGGGCAGATATCTGAAGTGACTCCACTGCTCAAGAGCGTATCGACGAACCAAGAATCGTCGCGATCGGACCAAGAACGACGAAGTTATAATCGTTTGAAGTTTTGATTGGGATGTGACGACTTTGGGAAGTTGTGAAGTGACTCAATATGGGGTAGACTTTTGGAGGTTGGAAAATTCGTCCCATTTAGTGTAGTTGATGCCAAGTGGTTGGGAGATGTCAAACCAGATTGGCAAGTGTGGCCAAGTTGGGTGAGGCGGATGCCATGGGTTGGGAAAATGATAAAGGTCAAAGTTGGGGTACCTATGGAGAGGGGAATTGTGTGGCATGGGGTTTCCTTGGTTGGGGACTCTCTTGGGACCTTCCCTCTTGTCCTCCTCATCCCCTTCTACCTGGTTCTTGCTACTCTAACTTCTTGTGTGAACTTGTGATATAATTGTGATTGAGTTAAGTTTCTCTGGCAGCTTACCACCTAGTGCGCCAAAATTCATAACTTAAGAAATACTTCACATTTTCTTGCGATTCACATTGGGAATTGTAGCCGCGGACTAGGGCTACAACATAACTGAGTTTGGTGAAGTTTTAACAGTGAACTTTTAGTCGACGACGTTTCTTGTGAAATCGACATTTCTGTCCAGAATTCTAAGCCAACGGTTTTTGGAAATTTAGGCACCTTATCTTCGTAGACTCCGTCCTTAGTCTCTAACAATTTGCAGGTGCGTGTGGTGGTGCCGGAGCATTCACCGTGGATTGCTGATGAGCGGAGTCGCGTTCCGCCGTGAGTGTCGCAATTTCGAGCGCCGAGTCTTCGAGTTGGCGCACAAGACGGTCGAGTTGCTCCTGCGTCAGTGTCGCGAGGGTGAATTCGGCCATGGCGGGGGTGTCGGGCAAGCTCAGCGAGAGCCTCTGTCGTGGCTGTGCGTGCTTACGAGATAGCACTTCGAGCGGCGGTGCGTGTTTCGCTAAAAGACGTATACAACCCTCCTGTGAAAAGAATGAACAGGAATGGAATGACTAAGTCAGGGTTGGGTACAAATACAACCCTAGAAAGCTGTACCCCATATGTGCTACCCCACTATAGCCTACAAACATGCATCAGCTATAATACTCTGACACACCCCCATAGGCAAAGTGGGGGAGAACAAGGGGTCACAAGACCAGTCAAGCAAAGCAAAGCAAAGCAAGCTCAGGGTGGATCACAAAGTCACCACACAGTCCGAGCACAAGAGCAGGGCCAGAGGCCAGTTCACATGCAGGAGTACAGACATATATATAAAACTAGACAAGCAGGAGCAGGTATATATATGTCACAGAACAAGTAAAGTCAAGAAGAGAGCAAGTGAGGCAAGACGGGCACAAGACCCAGCTGGGTGCAGAAGCGCTGATGGTCACAAGGCGCGAGTGCCTTGGTGAACACATCAGCAGTGTTGGCCTCAGAGGCCACGTACGCAAGTCGCAACTGACCACGCTGCTGCAGCTCACGAGCAAGGAAGTAGCGGAGAGCAATGTGCTTCGTTCTGTGCTCCAAGCGCTGCTCTCGACACAAGGCCAGCATGGCCTTGTTGTCTACGTACAGCACTGGAGGAGAACGAGGCGGCTCTCCAAGGTCAGTCAGCAGGTAGGTGAGCCAGAGAAGCTCCTGTGCAGCCATGGCCCCGGCGTAGATCTCAGCCTCACAACTGGAGCCGAGAACCGAAGACGAGCGAGTAGATCGCCACGAGACAGAGCCGGAACCAAGGCTGAAGGTGTAACCCTGTGACGACCGCTGCGTAGCCTGGTCGTCAGCCCAAGAAGCGTCCGCGTGGCCGGTAAGGACCACTGGACTCCGCCCTCCAAGCACTAGCCCCATGCCCGACGTACTGCACAGGTAGCGCAATACCCTCTTCGCTGCAACCATGTGCTCTGGTCTGTGTCTCCCAGGAGCAACATAGCGTGCAAGAATGCTAAGAGGGTATGCAAGGTCAGGTCGTGTGCAGGTCATCAGGTACATGAGGCAGCCAACAAGCTCTGCATACGGACCACTCGACTCTACGGACTCATCCGAAGGCAGAGCTGAGAGTGAGTGGCGAGTAGGCAGAGGAGTGGCCTGAGGCGAGGAGTACGTGAAGCCGAAGCGCTGAAGGACCTGCTGCACCATGTGTGACTGAGTCAAGGTAATGGTGCGGCGTGCAACAGCAGCAGAGGCAACAGAGGGCAGCAAGGGGGAAGGAGAGCACCCCTCAAAGATGGGGGTGCGAGGGTCACCACGAGAAGCACCTACAGCGACTATGCTCTTCTCCGCTGCGAGGAGGGCCTTCTCGAGGAGGTCGACGGTGAGGGTGGTGGGACAGACTGCGAGAAAGTGGTCCCTGACGACGCGAAGGGAGTCAGGGAGGCGCGCGACTACGTAGTAGAGAGCGATGTACATGGGGGGTGGGTTCTTAGCGCAGAACTCAGCAGGAAGGGCGGCGCGGTAGCGAGTGTCACTAGTGCGGAGGTGCGTAATGAGGTCAGCGACAGTGGGAAAGGCAGAGAGGTCAGGAAAGAGGTAGGGAAGCATGAGACGGCTCAGTGCAGCAGTGGCAGGGGAGGAGTAGCGCGCAACTACAGCGTCGTACAAGGTCTGAGCACTCTTGTACTGACTAAAGTGCGCACGCTCAGAGGTAGGGAGGTGGCGACGCAGAGCAAGACGTGCAGCAGCATCGCGGGTGGCCCACTGAGAGCGGACAGTGGGATCAGCATCAGCAGCAGGAGCAGGAGAGGCGCCAGAGGTGAGGTCAAAGAGAGAAAGGCTGTCAGCCCTGTCGCACTGTAAGAACAGCTGCAGGTCGTCTAACCAGACCTCAAAATCAATGGCGCGACCCTCAGCGTCAAAAGCTAGGACACTAGGGGTAGCCATGACGACGACAGCGAAGCAGTGCAAGCAGTAGGGGAAGAGCACGCAGTGACAGTGCGACTGTGCTCACCAGGCAGGGCAGGCCGAGCAACTCTGCAGAAGGGCGGCTCGGCGACTCAGTGACTCGGCTGCTGGGCGGCTCGGCTCCCGGGCGGCTCGGCGGCAGGGCGGCTCGGGTGCAGGGCGGCTCGGCGCCCGGGCGGCTCGGCGGCAGGGCGGCTCGGGTGCAGGGCGGCTCGGCTCCCGGGCGGCTCGGCGGCAGGGCGGCTCGGGTGCTGGGCGGCTCGGCTCCCGGGCGGCTCGGCGGCAGGGCGGCTCGGGTGCAGGACGGGGCCGGGACAGGGGACGGCGGGGCCGTCAGGGTGCAGCGGCGGGGCCGGCAGGGTGCAGCGGCGGGGCCGGGAAAGGGGACGGCTGGGCCGTCAGGGTGTAGCGGCGGGGCCGGCAGGGTGCAGTGGCGGGGCCGGGACAGGGGACGGCGGGGCCGTCAGGGTGCAGCGGCGGGGCCGACTGGTGCAGTGGCGGGGCCGTCAGGGTGCAGCGGCGGGGCCGTGACAGGGGACGGCGGGGCCGTGACAGGGGACGGCGGGGCCGTCAGGGTGCAGCGGCGGGGCCGACAGAGGTGCAGCGGCGGGGCCGGAAGGGTGCAGCGGCGGGGCCGGGACAGGGGACGGCGGGGCCGTCAGGGTGCAGCGGCGGGGCCGACAGGTGAAGTGGCGGGGCCGTCAGGTTGCAACGGCGGGGCCGAGAGTAGGACGGCGGGGCCGTCAGGTGACGGGGCCCGCTGCAGCGACGAAGAGGCCGCGCGGCCGGCGTGAGGGCGGCGCGGCGCGGCAGAGCCGAGAGGGCGGCGCGGCGCGGCCGTAAGGCCAGCGCGACGTGGGGCCCGGGCCGCGCGCGCGAAAAAAAAGGAGTCGCGCGCGCGACTCGCGGGGCGCCACAAGGGCAGCGCGACAAACACTAGGGGGGAGCGCGCCTCGGGGAGAATAGGGCGCGCTCCGGGCAGGAAAAAAAAAAAAAAATCGTGGGTGGGCCCTTAAAAAACGGTCCTTAGGAGGGACCCGCTCTATACCATGTGAAAAGAATGAACAGGAATGGAATGACTAAGTCAGGGTTGGGTACAAATACAACCCTAGAAAGCTGTACCCCATATGTGCTACCCCACTATAGCCTACAAACATGCATCAGCTATAATACTCTGACACCTCCCACCCAAAAAAAGGAATAGTGGGGAAACGAAGGTGTGGGTGTGGTTCGAGAGGAGATCGTAGGCTCTGATACCAAGTGCTACGAGTGCAATTGAGTAAGCGAGCGAGAATTGCACTATCGAAGCAAGAGTACAATGAGCGAAGGCATGAGCGAAAAATATATAGCGAAACTACAGTGGTAACAGTAATGCGTGGGAATTGGGGTGCACGACGGGCCTAGCGCCGAGGTTGGGAAATGTCGAGGCGGAGGTCCGGAGCATGGGTTACCAACCGAACTGTGAGGTTGGGTCGCGTCGTGAATAGTGGCGGGAACAGTGTCGAGGCGAGTGTCGTAAGTGGTAACGGATTACTGTTGTTGGCGGGAACAGTGGCGTACTCGATGGAGAGGGACACGAAGGAAAAGGAATTTTTCTTATGGCGTGTGCAAAGTGCGCAAAAAATCGACGTCGAGCAACGTAGGTGAATTTCCACCCTCGGATCAAAGGTTCCAACCGTCAGGATTCACCGACGTTCCTCGACGTCGAGTTTGTGCAGCACTTTGTACAGGCCATTAGACTACGCAACCCAATAAAAAAGGCAACATTGTGCAATTCGTCATTCCCTCATCCAAAGCGTCTCCATTTCTACCTCCCTTCTCCCCCCAACCCACGACAGCACACCATGACGCTCGTGGAGCAACTGCAGAATCTCTCCGCCCCCTTCTACCGCGCGCTATCACGCGCGGCCGTGGGGAAGCGGCCGGTCCCCGCGCTGCCGCTGCTCGTGCTGGCGGTGGTGCTCTCGCTCGCCGTGTGGGCCGCGCCATGGCTCACCGTCCCCCCCGACATGCTAGCGTCTCCCGGGTGCGTGCGGGGAAGCGAGTCGCGCTGCGTGGCAGAGATCGTCGCGACGCTGGCATTAATATCTCCATCCGAATGGCGATTCGACATAATGTGGTAGCGCTGATTCATATGTCGCGCAGTTCCACGCAGGGCGACGCGGGGAGGGTCTAGAAGTTGTGTCGAAGCGCGGAGAGTTAGTTTTAGCACAGTTGATAGCAGGCGTCCCTCGCAATGGACTGCGCATTGCACGGTGTACGGCGCTACTGAGCACTGGGTGCACCCCTAATCTAAAACGAGTGCCACATCTCCTCGTTACCCGTATCGTAACAGTTTCAGGAGAATTCAAAGCGAAAACAAAGTACAAAAAAAGAAGATACCGGTCCCCCACATTTCCGGTTTTACGTCAATGGCAGGACAAGTCCGCATTGCCCCACTCGCACACTACTGCGCCCATCCTCCTTCCAAACCCTCCCACTCCCCCACAACTCTCCCTTGTCCCATCCTGGCCCTTCATCTTCCGCCTCTTCCCGCTCCTGCCCCTCCCTCGCCCCCGATCCCCCCGTACCCCCGCACCCCATGGCCACAGCCCCACGTCCGCGGAGCTGTACGAGGCATGGGCGCAGCTCTTCGCGCTCGACTCGCCCTTCCCCCCGTCCAACATCACCCTGCGCGCATCGCTTCCCCCCCCGCCCCACCTGGAGGACTGCGCCGCGCGCACTGCCTTCCGCCTCGCCACCGAGCGCACAGGGGGGGGAGGGACGGGCGCGGAAGGGGGAAACGGGGAGGGGGAGGTGGAGAGTGAAGCACCGGAGTGGGCGCGGGCGACTGCGGCGTGTGGCAACGTGCCGCAGCCCCCTTGGGTGAGCCGCTGGCTGGACTTCCCTTAATGTGTTGCGCTTGCTGTGCTGTGAGGTACACACTGGGCGCACTGGGGCAGACAGGGGCAGACTGGGCCCCTTTTCCACCCCTTTGATGCCTCCACTCCACAACGACCCTCCCTTTTTTTCGTCTCCCTGCTACCCCTCTCCGCCTGCCTGTGTGCACGGCACGGCAGGTGCGGGGGGCGGACGCGGCAAATCTGGGGAGCACGAGGGAGGTGCAGAGGGACCTGTGGGCGCACCAGTTCCCCCCCGGGTCGTGTCACGGCCGCCGCCTGCTGCTCGTGCAATGGCCTCACCTGGACCTGCCTCCCGCAGATGCTGCCGTCACCACCAGCAGCAGCGGCAACAGCAGCAGTGGCGAGAGCAGTGGGAGTGGCAGCGGCAGTGGCGAAAGTGGCAACAACAGCAGCGACAGAAGCGGTGCAGGGAGTGGGCAAGGCGGCGACATCGGTGTTGGGAGGGCATGGAGTGCGTCGGAGGTGGCAGAGCAGCTGGCGGCGATGGCAGGGGCGCTGAGTGCGGCGGTGAGCAGCCAGCGCGTGCTGGTGCCCATGCCAGGCTCCTTCCTCCCCGCCAACCACTCCCACTGCCACGGTCAGTCCACCCACACCATGCCACGCCACGCCATGCCATGCCACGCCACACCACGCCACAGTGTTTTCTGCTTCCCCAACCAACTCGTTTTTTCGCAATTGAGAGCGCTTTTATGGCGTGGCCGCCTGTCTTCTTGATGCGCCTGATTCAGCCTAATCTGCAACTAAGTTGGCCGTGAGTGTGAGTCAGTTTCATCGTTCACGTACTTTCGCGTAAGCATTTTCTGACCGTACACTTTTTTCCTTTCAACAAATATTTATCGTCCGAGTGAGCCCGTACAAGAACAATCGTCGATTATGTATGTCATAAGTCAGGTGTCCTAAACGCCCTACATTTATACGAGACCCGTAGTGCCGAGATTTGTTAAAACACGTGGTAGATATGCTGGTTTTAAATGTACGCCACATTTATGTTGTCACATCCACGCGGATGTTACAAGGGCGGAACTTCATACTGCAATGGAAAGACATGGTTATCCCGCAAGGAGATCCTATCGATCGTGCGCTATGAGGCAATTGCTGCGTGTGACTGATTTTGTTCAACTAATACCTTGGAGGGAGCTCTCAAGTGTTGAAAGTTGGGTGCGTATCAAGGAAGCCAGAAGCAAGCATGGCATGGTTTGGGCTTCCAAGGTTGGGAATCTTTACTGGCAAGCATTTCGCTCCCTGAGAGGACCTGAGATTTGCTTTTTGGGTGAGAATATGGGTCGGCTTTTGTTTGTGAGAGTGTGGACTAACGGAGGAGCAAGGGAAGGGGGTGTCGAAATTTGCTAATGTTCGCCGTCCACGGCTTGACTGGTCTTTTGTGCCCATTTGATTCAAATGCTGCGACGGAGAATGACTGGGCAATCTGAGCGTCCAAATCAGAGGCTGTACGTGCCTTTGTGGGTGCGCTTGTTGCCTTGAGGAAGCCATGCACACTCCCATCCAAGCTTGCCGCTCATGAGGCTTAAGCTTGATAAGCTTCACTTCCTGCCACGCTTGGAGGCCTCAACCTCGCCGACCCCGCAGTGGAACGCTTCCCAAGTTACCTTGCTTCCAAAGTTACCTTGCTTCCACTACGGCGTCCGTGCATCTTCTCGGCCGACCTGCGACGAGCTCCCACCCCAGCATCTTCACTCTCCTCCCCCTCTTCTCTGCGGACAACACCAGCAGCTCCGCCCTCTCACGACGACTTGCAGTGCGGAAGCAGCAGTACCGCACGAAGGTCTAGCCCTCCTCTCCCGTTTACGGGAAGGAGAGGAACTGAACAAGATCCAGCGCTCTCTCTCTCTCTCTCTCTGCACGTCCAGGCGGAGCGGTATGCGGCCATCCTTGACGAGAGCCGAAGGCTCGAACTCAACCCCCTTTCTGGCCACACCCAACGTCTCCAAGCCCTCCTTGGCCCAGGCGCGGGGGATTGGCTCTCTGCGATCCCGCTCACCAGCTCCCTTACCCTGTCGTCGCCCCACCACGCCTCCGCATCTGCATTTCGCCTAGGACTGCCGCAACTTGTGCCTGGCAACTGCGACTGTGATAAGCAAGTCGAGATCCCAGACCCACGCCTGCCTAACCACCTCCTTCGATGCAGAATGGGGAAGGGCCGCGCTGGCACCCACAATGCCCTCCGCGTCGAATGCGCGAGCATCGCAGCCGAGGCAGGGTTCGCCGTGATGGTGTAGACGACGGTGTACACACCAATCAAGGGACTGAAGGGGGACATCGCCATTCGCCACCCGGACACGTCGGCGGTCTGGCTGTGCGACATCACCGTCACTGACCCCATCTCCCGTCAGGCCCCTCTGGCTAGAAGAGCGCCTGGCACCGCTGCCGCCATTGCGGCTCAGGGCAAAGAACACAAGTACCGCAACCGAGCAGCTTGGGTCGGCTTCCTGGCTATTGCCATTGAGACGTATGGGTATTGCTCCCCTGGAGTGCTAGAGTTCCTCTGCTTGTGCGCAATCCACGGCCTTCCAGGGGGAGCCCCTAAGCACGGGAGATCTCATGCACGTGCTCGAGCCCGAGCTCGAGATGCATTAGTTTTACCTTGCCTTGTTTGTATGGCTGTGTTACGAATGTGCTGTGCACTATTACTTATTTAATGGAGGACCATTCAGGAGTTCATATGATCATGAAGATGCAGGTGACCGACGTAGCTACATTTCTACAGTGGACAATTGCACATGCATCAAAAGCCGAAGCATGGGGCATCCTTGCTTAAAATGACACGGCTGTTGTGCTAGTCGCCAGCTTGGCTCTAACTGAGGGTACATTCCAGCTTGGCGCTTTGTTAAAACATTTCAAACTTGGGTTCGATGTGGTACAGAGCGGTACCTCCGCTTTGTGACACAAATGTCCAGACAAGAATGTACTCTGAGACCGCTCGTCTTGCAAGCCTTATTAGATGAACAATCTTCACCGCTGGTAATCACCTCGTTGGTTACCGTAATGGACAACACGGCGAACAAATAACTTGCGACAACTTGTTGACGAGGGTTCGCATGTTTTTTTCACCAAGTGCACGGCGCGCACAGTGGATTTCATGCTCCGTAATATCAGGAAGATACGGGTTGTGACACGAGTGCTTCAGCGTGGTAATGATGGTTTAGCAAAAGATACGGGTTGTGCCATTAGCTCTTCGTGCTCTCTTTACCAAGTTAGCGTTGGTATGTGGAACCAACGCTAACATTGTGGAACCTAAGAATTATGGTCACACGTTTGAAGATAAGAAAGCGTTTAAGAGAGATTGTGATGAACGAAGAATAGGACGTGCCGTTCGTACAGTCGGGAGGTGAAATGCTGGCTGCAACCTCCTCTTGAATGCCTGGTGTCGGAAAAGACGCGTTTTAAGACTTCATATTGGTGGTGCTTCAGCTCATGTTTCCCCGTGTGTGAGATGCTTCCGTCCACAGTCTCTTGTCCCACAGTCAAGATGAATGAGAGCAGGTAAGTTCTTTCGTTGCACCCTTCATTCTGCATCGTCCCCACCCCACAGAGTAATTTCTCACCTCAGTCCGCAGTTGCATTGTCTGCAATTATGGCAATCATAGGCAAGCGGTAGGATGGGGCAATCGCATAAAATCCACTTCATTCATTAAGGTGGCCCCAAAGCCCCACCATTAGTACGTGAAAGAGTTGAATTAGATTATGAAATATGGGGCGGTGTTATTGAGGCTATTTGAGCTAGGAAGGTAACATGTGAACAGGACACCATGTTTGTGCACGTTGTGCAATTTACAAGGGAGAAGGGTGTTTGTTAGGGAGCAATAGATGCCCGTTAGACAACAGTGACGACCTTAGTGCTCAGCCATGCAGAATGGTGTACGGAGAAGAAGTTCGTGATGGTTGTTGGGGCTGAGGGGCTGGTCATGATGTTTCTCTTATATTTAGTCACCTCTTGTGAGATCGATTGATATTGATCAGCCCTGGCAAGGATGCAACAGTAAGACAGGAACCGTATGAATCCATCATGCATGTCGTACGTGACGTTTGTGACATTTTTTTTTCCAAGCTAGTTCTTGTGCTAACTATCCATTGCCCCTATTTTTTTCCTATAGTTATCACGGCGTGAACATTTTCGAATAGGTAGTTCGAATGGGCACACTATTGCTTGCCACGAACCCCTCAATCTAGAGGGTATAAACACCTCCCTCAATCTTAGGTGTCACAAGTACTAAGTGCACGAGACGCGAGCACCTTCTTCGTGTTTGACTTTAAAGTTATTGCGCGAACAGCAGCCAGTCCTAGCATAGGAAACATCGCAGCGCGGACAGCTATTGACTCACCCCTTGATCCAACTCAGCTCTCTGTGATGGTCTGAAGAGGGACTTGAGCTCAGGCTCCTTCCTTGAACAACACCCGCCTTTTTTATGGTTGCGCGCCTTTGTTATTTACAAGAAAAGTCCATTTTCTACAAAAGCAACAAATTGACAGGTTTGAAATTCGTAAATGAATAATACTAGTTCAACAAATAGCAAATTGTGAAATAGAAAGAATTGTGGTTACTCTCGGTAAACAATAGATGCAAGCATCAAACCACAATCTGAGTGAACCGTTTTTCATAAAAACGGTTGACACTGGCACCTTGAAGTTTCAATTTCCACTAAGGTTGCATCACTGAGTAACCTTGCTACCCAGCCATGTGTTCCTTGCCCTTATGCCACTTCCATACTCTTCTCTTCTTCTCCACATGAAACAACTTGTTTCTACACTCCCGATACGCCCCCCTCCTCCCCTCCCAACTACACAAATGCACACTCTTGCATCCTTAATTCCTCCCAACTCCATTTTTCGTGTGAACTTGGCCACTCATGCCCTGTCCCCTTCCACAGCGGTGAATGAGTCGGGATCGTTGCACTGCTACTTCTTCCGCTCGGTGTCGGCAGCCTGTGAGGAAGCAGCCATGCAGCAGTACAGCGCTGCCGGCTCCCCTCCCTGCCGCCCGCTCTCCCAGCTAGCCGATGTCGTTGCCTCCAACGACTCCCTCGTCTGTGCCCTCGCCACCCTCGATCCCTCCTCTCGCTCACACTCCGATGCTGCTAGGTACGCCCATACACATACACGCACCCGTGAAATGGGCTAGGCAATTCATGGCCCTCTGCAAGCTTCTGATTCCACGCACGTTGTCGATCACCATGTAGAAAAATGTGCCCCTTGCCCACCTTGGCTACTTCGCATTCGTTTTGAAGGCGCCACGTAAAAGAGGGTGCGCATTCCTCTTTGTTAGGCATGAGCATGCGGACCGGCCAAGTTGGGATAACTTGACTAGACCCTGCTTTTTAACTGGGCCAACTCGAATGTGCGAATTCTCTGACCTGGAAATGTCGGGTCGGGTTGTAGGTGAGGAGAGCACACTTGGAAAATCCCTTCACAAATACGGATCCTTGGATAGGGGCTGGTTCTACCAGGCACCCGAGGAACCTTGGAGGTGACCCCGTGGGGACTACCTAGAGTGAATTGAGAGGTGTGTTTAGAGCTTCTAGGTCCTAATAGTGGACAACAGTGCAACGAAGGCTTGGTCTGCCTGGGCTTTCCCACATCGATTAGACGCGGTTGACCCCAGTTTCCAGCCAGGTCGGTTAGCCTTGGTTGTTCCAACCTTAATCGTTGCTGCTTAAAACAGTTTGTTTGTCTAACAGGACTTTCGTTGCACTCTTTATGGAATTTCCGCTTGTGCTGATGACAATGTGATTCCGGGCATGTGCCAGTCTACCGAACCTTGTTAGTGGTTTTGAAGTACCAGTGGGTCTGAGATTTCGGTTTACTTATTTTTTGGTTGTAACCAGGGTATGATGTCGTTTTTCTTCGTCTAAATGTTTCCTCTAGGATTCTGCTCGCCTGGTTCACATGGCTAATGCTCTTCAACGCATGATCTCTCACTTGTGAACTGGCTCGTGGTCAAGCCTTCTTTCATGCCCTCATGCTGCGTTGCCTCCCGGCAGGGCATGGGGCGATGCATACAAGCAGCGGCCGTACCTGGTGGAGGAGAGGGGCATGATGGTCAACGCCACAGAGGAACAGATGCAGGTGACCCATGCCATGCCATGCTGTGCCATGTCATGCCATGCCATGCCATGCCATGCCATGCCATTCTATGTCAGTTCATTTGCATGTCACTTGTGCAAGCTGTTGTTCATCTTTGTTCCTTGTCTCCACTCACTCCCTCATCACCTCCCCGACACATCTCTCCCCAACATATGTCCCTGATGCCCTCTCCCACCCTACTTTCCGTTCCTCCACCCTCCCACCCGTGCACCCCACACCTCCCCTTCCATGGTCCCCCAGGCCTACTGGTGGCAGGCGCAGGCGCTGCGCTTCCTGCTGCGCTGGCCCTCCGCGCTGCTGTGCCACGCCACCAACCGCATGCGCCACTCGGCGTACGGGCTGCAGACCGCGCAGCAATCAGCCGAGTACATGACAGAGCAGCGCGAGATAGTGGCTGCTCTCCGCTCCGACCCGCCCGACCCAAACCCCGGGGTACACTTGCGCGCAGAAGCTGCTCTTCTGTCCGCATTTGACTACACCAAACACCCGAATCTGGAAACAGAAGTGTGGCCTGGGCTGGGATTCGCGGGGTGTGGATATGCTTCAGAGGGTGGAAGTGCGGGTGAGGAGCAAGGAGGACGTGAGGGGAGAGCGGAGAGAGCGGGGGGGTCAAGGGGAGATGGATGGACTGTTGGACCTTGGACTATTGGAGAGTGGAAACTTGGACCGTGGACCATTGGAGCAGCTGAGGAGGAGGATGTTCCAGAGGAGAAGCCGCGGGCGCTGGTGACGTATGAGGGGGTGGGCAGGGAGGTGGGTATTCCACGGCCGGTGGTGAGCATGCATGTGGAGCAGCAGGTGGGTGGCGGGGCGGATGCGCTGCTGCCGCTGCTCTCGCTGGCCTACCGCCTGCGGCTCCTCGACCCCGCGCTCTCATTCGCCTGGCTCTCCTCCGACCACCCGGTACGTCCGCCTCTCCTCACACCACCTTGTAAGTGGCTGTGCTTGGGGGAGGGACGAGGTGTGTGGCTTAAATTCGCCGGCCTCAGCATATGCTGTTGGATGCAGGCTTTGTTTTTCAAGGGGACTGGTAGGGGGAGGGATGGGGGGGGTTGGTGGGGGAGTTCGTGTTTTTCTGTTTCTATTCTCCTTTCAACCACTTCACCTACATTCCGGCATCTCAATCCTCGCGTCTCCCTCCCCTCATATGCAAGCATTATTCCAACTGCAAGTGATTAACTGCTACCCACTATGCACCATGCAGGATGTGAGTGAGCAACTGAGCACACTCACGCACCCACATCTGCAATCCTCCTGGTCTTTCCTTCATCCCTACGGCACCGACCTGCAAGAGCACGACCCAGTAGCTGCCAGTTTCTCACACCTCCTCATTTCAGCAGAGTCTGATTATCTTGCTGCTGCACTCAACTCAACTTGGACCCATGCCTTGCATGCCCTCAGGTCCACAAATGGCCGGCTATACTCCATGTTTTTGTCCTACTAGTTTTTGGAATGGTCCATCGAACCAGTACCGTATTAACAAATGTACCGTACATGTATTGGCACAACCGACCCTAGTCCTGGTGTGCTATACATTTCAAGCATTGATTGATTGATACCGTAACTATAGTGTGTTTCTTACAGATGCAAACATGTTCGGTGTTTTCAAAAGTGCTAGAACGGTACCTTCATCACAGATAGGCCACGAAAGTGGGTTGGGGCTTGGAAAACAAATGCTTCCACTCACGTGCAACCCAGAAGGCAAAGAAATACGGAAGGTACACTAGTAGCCATGATTTCTGGTAACTAGGAGATTGTTAATCCCAGGCCTATCCAATGTTTAATTGAGACATGCTGTGACGGGTCTGTTCAATCTTCCATTCCATCACGCCCACTCGAGCCGCTCCACGTTCGTACCTGTACCGTAGTAAGAATGGTGGCGCACAACCTTAAAAGCAGGCATATACTGGTACCGGTACCGGTCGATAAATTTGGGAATACGGTACCACCACACTCACGATGGAGCCAGCGCCCTCTTGTTGCTTTTGAGGATTCTCAAAAGTGGTGCCCCCTTGTTGGTGCCACATGTTTCAACTCTCTTAACGGCATACCAATGAAGACACCCATACAGAAAGAGTGCGTGTGCTGCATAAGCAAGTAAAGACTCCCTTGGACTATCTGCCGGCTTGCCGTGTGGCGGTGGTGTGATGCCGTGGCAGCACTCTTGACATCACGCTTCCCTGGCGGCACGAGGAGACGTCAAGCGGCCAGAGGGAGGAGCCATCGAAGTAGAGGTTCAAGCCGGGGAGCACCAGCGACGTGACATCGTCATCGTCATCGTCATCGTCGCAGTCGCCCTCCTCCACTTCCTCTGCTTCATCATACCGCACACCACCTGCTCTGCTAGAATCAGCAGCAGCAGCAGTAGCATTGGTACCAGCAGCAGCATCCTTGAGGCCAGCAGTGTCATGAGTGTGGTGTTGCCTGCTGCTGCAGTGACACGCACACATGTGAAAGGAGCACACATTACCATGGAGGCGAGCATGGAGGCGAGCATGGAGGCGAGCATCAAACCGGACAAGAGCACCAACGGCGAATTGCAGCTGACATATTCAGTGGGGAACACAGACGATGTGCAACACACATTGCAAAAAGGCCGAGCAGCAAAGGCGAGACGCAGAGCAGGGATATTCATGGATGGGCCCGTACTTATTGTGTGGCGGCGAGTGAGAGTGCTGTTGCATCTTATGGGAGTTCGTGCACCGGGGTTGCATGCAGTGCCCTGCAATGAGGTGCACACACACAAACGGCCCACTGCCCTGCCTGCTGTCCCTTGCACCGCCACATTCTCCGCTGCACCCCCTGCCACCACAACCGTCCCTGCAGCATGCACTGCAGCATGCACTAGCAGAGACAACACCAGCCTTGCACCCAGAGCATGCTCCCATGCTTTCGGCACCATCCGCCTGCCTCCTGCTCCCACCGCCTCGACTCGTGCGTGCACTATACCTTTCCTGCTCCACCCGTGCACAAGACACATCCCTACCACTGCTGCCCCTCTCACCATACTCCACTCCACACACTCCCCACTCTATCCCCTCTCTCCCCCTTCTTCCCTCTCTCCCCTCCCACACGCCTCCTCCTCCCCCTTGCCCCTCACACACCCCCCCTCCTCCCGCGAGCATCCACCTGCGCTGAAACGTGCAAATCCCCGGCGCATGCAGGGAGGAGGCGGCGAGGCAGAGAGGGCTGTGGGGGCGCAGGTCGCGGATGAGAGCGAGCAGTAGGCGCCGCGTGCTCGTGCCCGCTGCTAGCTGCTGCTGCCGCTGGGCTGCACTCAGGAGGGATGCTTCATGGGCTGCCCTGCACACCTGCAGTGGTGGCAAGGGGAGGGGGTGGGGAGAGAATTTGCCACGTCTCAATAGTTGTGCGCAGGCAGGACGCTTGGTGAGCCGTTCTGCGCACCTGCGGTGGTGGCAAAGGGGAAGGGCGCAGAGGGGGGGGTGCGGGGTTCACAGGGCGGTGGGGGAGATGAGAGATATGGGGGATGCTGAAGCTGCTGCGTGCATAAGCAACACATGTATCCGATTTTAACCCGTAATTAACAAGACCAAAACCAGACCAGAAAAACAAATCCACAGGATCACCAACCAAACCCTTTCCAACAATCCCACCAGATAAAATCACCTCCTGAGCGAGCAGTGGCCACCCCATTACCTGCGCACAGAGGGACGCGTCAAACAGAGGCAAGCCAAGGCTGAGCGAGTGAGGCACCCAGCCCTTGCTGCACCCCACAGCACCGCACGCAACTCCTGCCAAAGCAGTCATGCCTGCAGCAGCAGCAGCAGCAGCAGCAGCAGCAGCAGCAGCAGCGCGGTCACCATCGACACAACCACCACCGCTGAGAGCATGCTGATTGCCATGCTGCGCCGTGCATGTTCCACCATGCACCCCAGCTTCTTGCATCACGGCACTACTGGATTCCCCGTGTGGTAAATGCATGAGAGTGAGCACACCCATGCCTGTCAGCCCCAGCGGATACACCACTCTCTCAATGCACCTCATCCCCTCCACTTGCTGCAATGCTCTTCCTTCCGCTTCCTCCCTTGCTCTACCTCCCTCCTTTTCCCTCGTGTGCTCAGTAGCCGCCCCACTGTTCGCTTCCGGATCTGCCTTCTCCTCCTCTGCCTCGTTACCCATGTGTTTCTCGCTCCTCCTGCCACCACATGCCACACCGTCTTGATCCTTGTGAGCTGCCGCTGCTTCAGCTGCCCCTGCTTCAGCTGCCGCTGCTTCAGCTGCCCCTGCTTCAGCTGCCGCTGCTTCAGCTGCCCCTGCTTCAGCTGCCCCTGCTTCAGCTGCCGCTGCTTCAGCTGCCCCTGCTTCAGCTGCCGCTGCTTCAGCTGCCCCTGCTTCAGCTGCCGCTGCTTCAGCTGCCCCTGCTTCAGCTGCCGCTGATTCAGCTGCCCTTGCTTCGGCTGCCCTTGCTTCGGCTGCACCTGTTTCGACTGCCCCTGTTTCCTCTGCCGCTGACCTCCCACGTGGCAAGTCACATGCTTCCATAGCATCACTGTCAGCACCACATGCACCTGCAGCAGCACCATCCGCGGCACCATACGCAGCACCATTCGCAGCACCTGCAGCAGCACGCCCAGGAGCAACAGCATTCCCGGGTGTGGGGAGGAGTGGCAGCGGTATGTGCCTTACAGCATAGCGCGAGCTCATAAGAGGCTGCACCATCACAGCTGATCGCAGCAACAGCGTGTTCAGCACATGCAGCAACACACCCCGAGGCACCACTGTCAACCCCCCCACCGTATCCTCACCCCACCCTCCTCCCCCTCCCCCTCCGCCATTCTCCCCCCCATCCCCCCACCACTCGTCCCCTCCTCCCCCGCCTGCCCTGCCCCCCTTGCGAATGTCCCCCCCATCCCACATGCCCACCAGGGCGCACTCACACGCGCGCAGCACCAAGGGGAGGTGCCTGAGCCTCTGCCCGCGCACGAGAACGATGGTAGGAGGGCCGCAGCGGGAGAGCACGTACAGGAGAAGCTTCAGCCAGGGCGTGGCAAAGGCAGGGGCGGGAGAACCGTAGTGCACCACTGCTGCTGCCGCTGCTGGTGCTGCTGGTGTTGCTGGTGGTGTTAATGCTGCTGGAGCTGCTGGTGTTGCTGGTGTTTGTGGTGTTGGTGCAGCGGGGGTGGGTGATGCCAGGTTCCCTGCTGCGGGTGCAGCTGGGGGGAGTGAGTGCATGTGGGGTGGCAGAGCGAAAGAGGGGCTCCTGGGAGACGTGATGCACGCAGCCTCAGGTAGAGGGGAATAATACTCACCCACACCACCTGCACCCGCTGCAAGTGCTGCTGGCGTTGCAAGTGCTGCTGGCGTTGCAAGCGCTGCTGGCGTTGAAACAGCAGGGGTAGCGGCGATCGCAGCAGGAAGAGCAGTGGCAGCAGGGAGCGAGTCAGGGAAGGGAGGCGAGAGCATGGCGGAGGGGAGGAGCGGGAGAGCAGAGACAATCACGTGGTAATCACGGGACAGCAGGCGCTGCCGTATGGACGGGGACAGACTCGCCAGGCTCTCCCCTCGGATAATCTCCACTCGGTTCCACCGCGCAGGAGGAAGAAGCGTGGAGGGAGTGGCTGGCGTGAGGCTGCTGCACAAGCTAGGAGTCGAAGCTTCAGAGGCCTTTCCAGCAGGAGTGGCGGGTGCTGCACACACATGCTGCCCTCTTGGCGTGCCAGCAGAGCTGGATCGGCTGACACCCTTCTCACTGCTGCTGCGCGTAGTGGTGCTGCTGGTGGTTCCCCTGGGCGTGAGCGCTACAGCAAGGGAGTCGGCTGTAGCTGTCACCCGCTCTGCCACGCTCCCTGCCACCGACCCTGCCACCTCGCTCAGCGCGAGGGAGATGCTGCCCGGGTAGAGGTGCAGCGAGGAGAGCGAGGAGAAGGAGGAGAGTCCGGAGAGGGAGGGGAGCGGGTGGGAGGGAACGGAGCTGGAAAGACGCGCCCCTGCTGCCTCCGCTGCGTGCATGAGACGGTGGGACCATGTGGGGCCGGAGGGGGATGCAGAGGAGTGAGGAGTGGTGGAGGACGAGTGTGGGGATTGCAGAGAGGTGATGATGGTGGGAGGAGGTGCGCGGTGTGCAGGGGTAGGGGCGGGGTAGGTTGTGTTGTAGTCAAGGGTAGGCGATGCGGTTGGGAGGGAAGCAGTATTGCCAACAGCGCTGTTAGTGCTGGTGCCGCTTATCGTGCTGCTGCTGGTAGTGCTTGCGGTTGCAGTGGTGTCACTGTCAACACAAGAGGGAGCAGTACCAGCAACCCCAGCTGCTGATGGGGAGGAGGTTCCTTGCGTTAGAGGTGGGTGCAGAGCGGTAGCTGCTTGAGGTTCATCTCTGGTACCCTCAGACGATGTGTCTCCTCTTGATGAGGATGCTGATGGGACAGCACTTGCACCTTCTGCTCTTCCTCCTCCTTCGTCTGCTGCTCTTGCTGCTGCTGAAGCTGCTCCTGCTACTTCTGCTGCTGCGTCTGCTGCTGCTTCTGCTGCTGCTTCTGCTGCTGCTTCTGCTGCTACTTCTGCTGCTGCTTCTGCTGCTGCTTCTGCTGCTGCTTCTGTTGCTGCTTCTGCTTCTGCTGCTGCTTCTGCTGCTGCTTCTGCTGCTGCTGCTGCTGGCAACAAGTGGCTATCAGCGAATGCAGGCAAGTCGTGGGACATAAGGGGGAGCGGGCCAGCAACAGTGGCAGAGTCAGAAGCAGCAGAAGCAGCAGCAGCAGCAGCAGTTTCAGGAGAGGGCGCAACAGGAAGGGTGCTCCCTCGAAATGCAGCTGGTTCAGGGCCTTGCCTTCCTTCCATGCCCTCGCGAATGCCCTCATGCGTTACCTGTGCTGTTCCCTCCGCTTCGCCCCTCTCCATCCCATTCCTTAGTGCACTCCGCTTCTCCTTCTCCTCTTCCTCCTCCTCCCCGCGATTTCCTGCTCTACTCTGTGAGGGGCCTTGGTGGTTCACCAGTGGTTGATTGTGAGAGGCGGGCAACGGTAGAGCAGCAGAAGAGAGAACAGCAGAGGAAGATGCAGCAGGGGAAGGGAAGGGGGAGGCGGAGGGAGGAGCAGAAGGGGAGGCAAAAGTTGAGGCGGAGGGGGGGGCGGAAGGGGAGGCGGAGGGGGGCGCGGAAGGGGAGGCGGAGGGGGGCAGGGAGAGGCAGCGCAGGGTGGCGATGGCGCAGCGGAGGCAGGAGGCAAGAATGCGCAGGCGCAGCAGGTCCCCTGCGAGGTCGGGGCTCTCTTCCACCAGCTGTAGCTGCTCCCACAGCTGCAGCACCTGCGGCTCTGCTAGCTTGCCCGCCTCAAACAGCATCACTGCGTGCCGCTTCAGGTCTGTGGTGGGGAGGTGGAGGGGGGGGGTGACGCGTGGGGGGAGAGGGCAGGAGGTTGGGAGGGGAAGAGAAAGGGATGTGAGGTGAGGCGTGGGAGAAAGTCCCGTTTGCCAGTCAGGGCAGGTGCAGGACAAGTCCCACCATTTTCTCCCGTTTCTTTCCGTTACCCCCTGTATCCCGTGTTTCCCCCCATGCTCCCATGCCCCCATGCCCCCATGCCCCCATGCCCCCATGCCCCCATGCTCCCATGCCCCCATGCTCCCATGCCCCCATGCCCCCATGCCCCCATGCCCCCATGCCCCCATGCCCCCATGCCCCCATGCTCCCATGCCCCCATGCTCCCATGCCCCCATGCCCCCATGCCCCCATGCCCCCATGCCCCCATGCTCCCATGCCCCCATGCCCCCATGCCCCCATGCCCCCATGCCCCCATGCCCCCATGCTCCCATGCCCCCATGCCCCCATGCCCCCATGCTCCCATGCCCCCATGCTCCCATGCCCCCATGCCCCCATGCCCCCATGCCCCCATGCTCCCATGCCCCCATGCCCCCATGCCCCCATGCTCCCATGCCCCCATGCCCCCATGCCCCCGTGGCCCCATGCACCCGTGGCCCCTGTGGCCCCTGTGGCCCCACGCAGTGCCAGGCTATCCGTACTCACCATGGGAGAAGGACCCCATCATGAGGAACGATGTGATGCGCGCATCCACCAGCAGCGCCACACTCACACGCTGCTCCGCCACCCCTTCCGCTGCCGCCCCCCCCCACTGCCCCCCCCACTGCCCCGCCCGTTGCCCCTTCCACTGCCCCCCCCACTGACACCATCCCCATTCCCCCTATCAGTGTGGAAGCAGGAACTAAACCTGCTGCTGCCACCCCTGACACCGCCCCTGGTCCTGCGCCTTTCCCCAATGCTCCCGCTCCCATCCCCGGAGCGTCGCTGCTGCTGCTGCCACTGCTGCTGCTGCAAGTGCTGGGGTTGCGTGTGAGGTGGGGGGAGGATATCACGGAGGTTGGGGGCGTTTGGGAGGTGGAGAGGAGAGGCATTGAGGGGGAAACATGAGGAAGGGAGGAGTGAGGTGGGGTGGGAGTGGGAGTGTTGGTGAAAGGCCCACTGGTAGCTCCGTATCTGTGCATGGGCGATAGAGAGGGCATTGCTGCTGCTGCTGCTGCTGCTGCTGCTGCTGCTGCTGCTGCTGCTGCTGCTGCTGCTGCTGCTGCTGCTGCTGATTCTGACTGCAGTGATGCATGTGGTGACGCATCTGTGTGTGGTGCTGTGTGTGGTGCTGATGGGTGTGGTGAGTGTGGCGTGAGGCAGTGAGCAGCACTGCTGCTTGAGTCGAGCAGTGCGAGGTCCAGTGCTGCTGCTGCATCGGGCACAGGTGCATCGTCACATGCTCTTGCATGTCCTGCAGCAGACGACGCTGAAGCAGCAGCAGCACCAGCAGCAGGAGGAGCAGCAGGAGGAGCAGCAGGAGGAGGAGCAGAAGAAAGGGGAGTTTCAGAGGCCAGTGCAGCAGCAGGTACAGGCATTCTCTGGGTGGCGTCTGTGGCTTGTCCTGCTGCAACCTGAGCCCCACTGCTCATGCCAACTGCACCAGTATCAAACTCAGCAACACCACCAGCACCAACAGCACCAAAACCAGCACCAGCAACAGCAACAGCACCCCCAGAAGCAGCAGCAGAAGCAGCAGCAGCAGCAGCAGCAGCAGCTGTGTCATCCCCACGCTCTCCCTCATCCACCTCACCAGCCCCAACAACAGAGGCCTCAGGAGCCTCTGTGTCAGGCAACGGCAAGGGGCTAGGCAAGTGATCAGAAAGGGCGCTAGGCAGGGAATCAGGTAAAGGGCTAGGCAGAGGGGAGAGGAGGGGGCCAGAGGAAGCAGGAGTGGGGGAGGGCAGCGGGGGGAGCTTTTCGGCCCAGCACAGGCGGCAGGCGAGGGAGACGATGGGCAGCAGGCGGTGCAGCGGCACCTGTAGCGTGTCCGCTAGCGCTGCCACTGTGGTGGTGTGACTCGCCGCCACTAGCAGGTCGTAGAACAGCCTGGCGAGGGACGGTTGAGAGGGCGCAGCGAGAGGGGAGCGCGTGGAGTGGAGAGTGAGGGGGGGGGGGTTGAGAGCGGGGGGGAGAGTGGGGGGGAGAGTGTGAAGGGGCGGTTGGGGGAAATGGGGTTGGAAGGGGGGAGGGGGGTTGTGGGAGGGGGGGAGGAGGAGCGGGGAGTGGGGGGGGAGATAGGCGAGGAGAGGGAAGTGGGAGGGAAGGAGAAGGGAAGGAGAGTGGGGGAGAGGAGAGGGATGGGAGGGTTACTGGGGAGCGTACGGCATGAGGGAAGGCTGATGGAGTGAGGCAGTGCAGTCACTTGGTGGAAGAATGAGGTGAGGCGTAACAAGCGACAATGGCTATATGCACACAGATGTGAGATGCCCCAGGGTCAGACTTTTCCCTGTGCCCACCGCCCCTCCCTTTCCCCCTTCCCACCGTTCCCCCTGTTCCCCCTTCCCACCGCCCCTCCGCCTCCCCGTTCCCACGTCCCAGCTCACTTCTCCATGTCCCTGGCGCCCTGTGTGTTGCGGTTGGACACAAAGCCATCCAGAGGCAGCACTGCGCGGGGGGAGGGGCGGAAGCAAGAAGGGTGGAGGAGGGAGAGGGAGAAGGAGCACTGCCTTGGGAATGGAGCTGATAGCTATGAATGGTGTGATGCTGTAAAGGATGGTGATGTAATGGGTGGTCCTGTGCTGGTGTTCCCACTCACCTAGCTAGCAGCCTTGCACCACTAGCACGATCCAGACAAGGTGGCACCCTCTTCTCTCACTCTCTTCTCTCACTCTCTTCTCTCACTCTCTTCTCTCACTCTCTTCTCTCACTCTCTTCTCTCACTCTCTTCTCTCACTCTCTTCTCTCACTCTCTTCTCTCACTCTCTTCTCTCACTCTCTTCTCTAACTCTCTTCTCTCACTCTCTTCTCTCACTCTCTTCTCTCACTCTCTTCTCTCACTCTCTTCTCTCACTCTCTTCTCTCACTCTCTTCTCTCACTCTCTTCTCTCACTCTCTTCTCTCACTCTCTTCTCTCACTCTCTTCTCTCACTCTCTTCTCTTTTGCAATGCTTCTCTCACTCGCCTCATTGCATGACAGCGGCCCGCCGCCGTACATGCCCCCTTTCAGTGCACGCCACGCCTTCGCACATGCTCTCACTCGCACTCTCACTCCACAGAGGAGCCAGGCCAGGCCGGGCCACACACTCACACTGCACGCGGTCGGAGGGCAGCACGGGCACGTCAAGGTACACGAGGTGCCGCCCGTACAGCTGCCGCACCACGTCCTCGTGCAACTCCCCCACCAGCATGCGCCCTCCCTCCGCCTGCTGCAGCACCTGCACCGCGTACAGCTCCCCTTCTGACAGCCCCTGCAGGTCGTCGCCTTCCACCGCCACTGCTGATACCCCCCACCAGGAGGGCAGGGCGGCTTCTGCTGCTGCTGGCTGCTGCGGGAGGGAGTCGCGCAGCTGCTGCTTGCGACTCAGGCGCCACATTAGCTGCAGACGGGGCAAGGGGAAAGAGGGAGACAGGAGGAGGGTGTGTGACGGGAGGGACGCATGGAAATTCAGGAAGGAAGTCCGAGGAGAGTTGGTATGATGATTGCCGTGATGATGGGATGTGAGTATACGAAGATGAAAAACTGCTTGTACGGTAGAGGAGTAGTAGTGTGTGGAGAGGGGGGGTGGAGAGGGGTGATTGTGAAGTCCGGACTAATTAATTGTGACCTTGTTTGTACATGCGCTTCGCTGCTTCATGGCTTATTGTTTCGATCATGTCAAGCTTTTCTTTAATTGCAGTAGCTGCAACTTGTGATTAATTATCAATGGTGCATGCATCATTCACAAGTTATCACAAGCCATGTTATGCCATGACATGCCGTGCCATGCTCTGCCACGCCATGCGTGCCCCCACCGTGGAGCGAGCAGCGAGCATGGTGTGCAGGTACTGGTTGCGCCCCACGCCCAGCACCCTCACTATGTCCGCTGCTGTGATGTTCGGCAGACTGTCATACGACCGCTCTGGGGGGGTGCATGGGGCCACGGATGGGGCCAAGGGCAGAGCAGAGGGAGGTGGGAGTTGAGTGGGTCAACGGTGGTAAGGGATGGTATGTTTAAGCCACCGTTGAGAATCCTCAAAAGTGCGGGGAACGTAGGAATGAGAAGGAGGTGCGAGAAGAATCACAAAGCTTCATGCTGTCATGTGCTCTGCTGTACGATGGCTGGCATGTACACAGCGCAGTGGCAACACGGCGTGGTTGCAGTGCCATAACAAATCCAATCCAATCCAGTACATGCATCGAGTGGCGCTGTGTGTGTGCCGCAAGGATAACAGTCCACACCACAAAGCACGAGCAAACCTCGGACCCAAGGGACCACCTTGCTTCGCCCTTGGCCGTTCACTGACACACGTGTGTGCTCCCCCATGCCTTCTTTCACACAAGAAGCATGAGCAAACTTGGGATCCATGCCGTGCGCTGCGATTTTCGAGGCGTGTCATTCTCACCCTGGGCCATGGCGTCGACGAGCATGTCGCGGTAGAAGCGGAAGGGCGAGATGCGCAGTACGCCACAGATGTACGCACTCAGATGGTACGGGAACACCTGCATGCTCAGGGGCACAAACGCATGGAAGGAGAGAGAGTGGGGTGCTTGGAGGGGGGGTCTGTGCAGTGATGGTGGCTTGAGTTGAACAGCTATGAACGTGCTTGTCTTATGCATGGCACGTACAAGTCACGTGCATTAGGTGAGAGCATACGAGCGAATAAGCCCACAGGAAGGTGTACGAGTCGCGCATGGGAATAGGGGCCCTTGAAACGGAGCATGCGCAGCATAGGACAGTGCGTGAGAGCATTGGGTGTCGGAGCATGCCAGAGAACAGACAACCCAAACCAAAGGCTACGTCAGTAGGCAAGGTGCGGGCCAGGCAAGGTGCGGGCCAGGCAAGGTGCGGGCCAGGCAAGGTGCGGGAAGGAGAGGCAAGGAGAGGGCAAGACGAGGGAGGGCACAAGAGGACTAGACACGGCACTGACGGGACGAGCCTTGCATGAGGACGGAGGATGGACCGCAGGGGGGTGAGGGGGGGTGGGAAGTGGGGGGAAGGGGAGGACGGAGGGAGGGGAAAGTGGGGGAGGGGAGACGGGGGGGGAGAGGGGTTGGGGGGATAGGGGAAGCGGGGGGGGTGGGGAGGAGGGGGGGGAGGGGAGCGGGGGAACGGGCTTATGGGAGACGAGAGAAATGCAGGACAAGGGAAGGGAGGGAATAAGGAAGCAATGACTGGGGCTTGCGAGATGTGCGAGGGGGAGGGGAGTCACAAACGGGAGCTCGAGTGAGGGAGGTGCGGCTTAAAGGGAAAACGCAGAAGCAGCAAGGCAGAGGAGCAAGGGAGAGGCACAAGGGAGGAGAGTTGGCGGTTGGCGGGGTGGCGGTGAGGAGACGCACGTCCTGGTTGTGGTGCAGGATGGAGAGCAGGTCGAGGTAGTAGTCGTGCTCGCTGCACATGGGCCCCAGCAGCTGCGCGTGCCACGGCCGCTGCATGCGCAGCGAATCTGCCATGGCTCTGACGAGAGCCACAGGGGGAGTGGCGTGGGGGGGAGAGGGACGAGGGGACAGGGACGGGGAGAGGAGACGGGGGAAGGGGAAGGGGGGCGAAGGGGGGGAACGGGAAGGGGGGAGAAATGGGGCAAGGGAGGGTAGGATGGTGGTATTGCGGATGGATGGGTGGGAGGATATGCATGGGAGGGAGGTGGCGGTAGTAGTGGTGGCCATGTTGACTGCCTGGCTGCATACGTAACGACTCCGCCATGGGAGGGAGGTGGCATGTGGATGGAGATGCGTGCAAGGACATGGCACGGCAGAGTGAATGACTGCTCCTCTCAACCCCTCTCCCCCCCCTGACCTCACCCTGCTGTCATACATCCTTTCCTCTCATTCTCCCTTTCCTCTTTCCCCTCCCCTTTTTTTCCCCTCCCCTCCCTCCCATCCCTCCTCTCCCCCCTCTGCCCGCACCCCAGCTTCACCCTGCTCGCATCGCGCATGCCGGCCCCCATGCGAGCGGCCGCACCGCACTCATTGCTGCAGACCCATGCACGCACGTACCTACCCAGCTCGCACTGCTGCGTGCATGCATGTATCCCACCACTATGACTCCTCTCCAGACGTCTCAGAAGAAATCACCAACCTTTCTTGCTGCAGGTACTACAGCGCGGTTCCCCCCTCCTCCCCTCAAAGCCACCGCACTCACCGCTGCAGGTACAGCTGCATCGACCCCAGCGCGTTGCGCGCGCGCTGCGGCAGCTGGTGCCACGGAACGCGCGCCTCGATCGCGCGCTCGATCGCCGCCTGCTCCGCCGACCGCGCGGACGCCGCCGATGCCGCTGACGCGCCTCCCGCGCCCGCCGCTGCCGGCGACGACGCCATGCCGCCTTGTCCGTCCTGCACTCCCTCTCACCCACTCACGCGCCGGCTCACGCGCCCACTTGCGCGCCCCCACTTGCGCGCACTTCCGTCCGACCACCTTCGCACTTCCAATGCTGCTTCTTCCCCCCCACCCTCCCCCCGCACACCTCCTCTTGCCCTCCTGTTTCGGCTCGAGTCACGTGTTTGCGTGCAGTCGTCCACGTGTATCGCAGCTGTGTTTGAGCGTTTTCTTCTTCTCAAAAGCAACTCTGTCTCGCACGCGTACGGAGCGAGCTGTTTCCGTAGCTCACCAATGCCACTCGTACGCCTCCACGCCTCTACGTTGCTATGATGAATCTGCGTCTCTAAGACTTGATGACTTCACGAATGTTCGACCCTACGTCTCCATGCCTCTGTGCTCGCGTAAACACGGCCTCGCAGCGAGCTGTTGGCACTCGTCGCAAGACACCTCAGATCGAGAGAGCGAGAGTTCCACGCAATGCGCCCATCTCGTGCCTGCCCTCTGTAATTTGTGCCCTTCCCAGTGCCCTTCCCAGAGCCCTTCCCAGTGCGATTCCCAGAGCGCACGTCACTCGCCTCGCGGCGCCTAATTTCCTCCGAACCCACTCTCGCCGCCGCTAGACCGCAATGCGCGCTGTTCCGGGGGATGCGCCGCGAAACATTTCCGCGCTCGCCGCGAGCAAGCGTCGCGCGGAGAACGGGTGACCTGCGCGCGGCACACGCGGGTTGCGCGCTATCCACGCGATGGGTACGGCGTAGGCTTACTGGCTGTAGCGAGGACTCTGTGGCGGGGAAAGTGGCGGGCGAAGCAAGGATGAACGAAAGGCGAACCAATGGCGAACGCGTAGCGAACGAATGGCGAACGAATCCGAGGTCGTTGCCAGAGCAGCAGCGTGATACTACCACCACCTGCTTCGATGTCCCGAACGTTTCAGTCAACAGAAGGGAGAGACGTGCGTGGGTGGCAGGGCAGCGCGAGGGAGGGAGCGAGCAGGGAAGGGAAGGGAGCGATGTTGAAAGGACAGAAGGGTAGAAATTTGGTGGGGAAATTATACGCGCAGTCACAATTTAGGCCGTATTATCACGTTTGGTCACGGGGTTATCACGGACAGTCACAGTACAGTACTTCACTATCACGTGTGATCACAGCGCTATCACGCGTGGTCACACCTCGCCCCGCAGGGTTATCACGTTTGGTCACTCGTTGAAACGCCCGCCAAAAAGTCGAAACTCTCAAATCTACTGTACAGATTCGGGTACTATTATCTCGCGCGCGTTTTGTCTGTGGTGAAAAACGTGATGTGACTATCGAAATATACTCGGACCTTGTTAGGGACCGATGCAGTTTAATGTACAGTCCGCATGTTGCAGTGAATATAAGCGATCAATAACAGTTTCGATTATACATTTAGTTTAGGGTGTGCATTTCATCCATAAAACAAAGACATGGGTTTAGGTCGAATGATTTAAATAGTGAGAACATTGAAATCATTCGAAAATTATACAACAATCTGTGGCATATGATTCTTGAGTGGGGACTCAAATTTGAGAAAGTTAGAACGAGAATGAGTGCACTATGAAATGAAGTGAATACAAATATGAAACCCCTGATTGGGTTGTACCCCCTATGGGATACCCCACTATAGCCTACATAAAAGAGTAAGCTATAATGTTCTGACACACCCCCATAGGCAAAGTGGGGGAGAACAAGGGGTCACAAGACCAGTCAAGCAAAGCAAAGCAAAGCTCAGGGTGGATCACAAAGTCACCACACATTCCGAGCACAAGTTCAAGGGCCACAAGGCCAGTTCACATGCAAGATCATATATAGAGATACAAGAATCAAGCAAGTAAGAGCAAGAGTATATATAGGTGAAGGTACAAGCAAAGTCAAGAAGTGAGCAAGTGAGGCAAGACAGGCACAAGACCCAGCTGCGTGCAACAACGCTGATGATCACAAGGCGCAAGTGCCTTGGTGAAGACATCAGCAGTGTTGGCCTCAGAGGCCACGTACGCAAGTCGCAACTGTCCACGCTGCTGTAGCTCACGAGCAAGAAAGTAGCGGAGAGCAATGTGCTTTGTCCTGTGCTCCAGTCGCTGCTCTCGACACAAGGCCAGCATGGCCTTGTTGTCTACGTACAGGACTGGAGGAGAACGAGGCGGCTCTCCAAGGTCGGACAGCAGGTAGGTGAGCCAGCGTAACTCCTGTGCAGCCATAGCCCCGGCGTAGATCTCAGCCTCACAACTGGAGCCGAGAACAGAAGACGAGCGGGTAGCCCGCCACGAAACAGAGCCGGAACTAAGGCTGAAGGTGTAACCCTGTGACGACCGCTGCGTAGCCTGGTCGTCAGCCCAAGAAGCGTCCGCGTGCCCAGTGAGGACCACTAGACTGCGCCCTCCAAGCACTAGCCCCATGCCCGACGTACTGCACAAGTAGCGCAACACCCTCTTCGCTGCAGCCATGTGCTCTGGTCGGTGTCTCCCAGGAGCAACATAGCGTGCGAGAATGCTAAGAGGGTATGCAAGGTCAGGTCGTGTGCAGGTCATCAGGTACATGAGGCAGCCAACAAGCTCTGCATACGGGCCACTCGACTCTACGGACTCATCCGAAGGCAGAGCTGAGAGCGAGTGGCGAGTAGGCAGAGGAGTGGCCTGAGGCGAGGAGTACGTGAAGCCGAAGCGCTGAAGGACCTGCTGCACCATGTGTGACTGAGTCAGGGTAATGGTGCGGCGTGCTCTGTCCCGGGTGATCTGCAAGCCAAGGTAGCTGCGCAGTTCACCCAGGTCAGAGCACGTGTGTCTCTTCTGCAGCTCGGACTTCACGTAGGCGAGTCCAGCAGTGTCAGCTGTGGCAAAGACCAAGTCGTCGACGTACACGAGGATGTAGAACGGCGGCAGAGAGGTGTCGGTGCGAAGAAACAGCGACGGGTCGGCAGTAGAAGGAGCAAGCCCAAGTGCCGCCAGCGTAGTCCTCAGTGTGTCGTGCCACTCACGTGGCGCCTGGCAGAGACCGTAGACTGGACGCCGGAGACTCCACTGGGTACCAGGAGGGAAAGACCCAGTGAAGCCAGGTGGGCAACGCAGCCAGATCTCCTCGTGCAGGCTGCCCTGCAAGAAAGCTGTGCTGAAGTCGAGAGAGTGCAGCTCGTAGTCCCGGTGAGCAGCAACGTGCAGCAGTACCCGAAGAGTGGTCATCTTCGGGGTGGGGGAGAAGGTCTGAAAGTAGTCAACCCCCTGCCGCTGACTGAAGCCACAAGCCACGTAACGCGCCTTGAAGACAGGCGGAGAACCCGGCGGCCGCTTCACCCTGAAAATCCACATGCCAGTGACGATGTTCGCCCCAGGAGGGGGAACAGCGTCGACGTAGGTGCCTGTGGACTTCCAGGAAGCCATCTCTGCATCCATAGCTGCCTGCCACTGAGAGGAGTAGGGACCCTCTATCGCCTCCGCGTAAGAGCGCGGAGTCGGGATGTCTAGTGCATCCGGGTCTCCCTCAGAGGCTAGCAGTACAGACGCGAGATGAGGTGAAGCGGCGGCCAGACACTGGAACTCCTCCTGCGTGTCCTCAAGGACGTCCGTGCCAAGGGCACACTCACCCCCGACGGACGGAGGACAGGCAGACTCAGACTCAGCGACAAGACTAGCAGCGTAGTCTAGACGACAGCGCGCAGCAAAGTCAACGAGCTCAGTGACAAGGGCAGACGCAGCAGAAGACTCGAAAGAAGGGTCAGTGACAGCAGTAGCAAGGAGACGCGTGACAGTGGGACTGGCAGCACGAAGAGAGTCCGACTCCGGGTCGGGAAGAGCAGGAAGAGAGGAAGCAGGAGGAGAAGGCAAAGGGGCACGCAGAGGAGCAGTAGACGGACGCAGAGACATCCGGTGCGTGCCAGGGACAGGAGGAGGACGCTGACGCGAACCGCGACCACTAGCGCGCGCAGTACGAACAGGCGACGCAGGACGAGACGCAGGCTCACGACGCTCAGTAAGACCTCCAGTCGGACCAGCGTAGGGAGAAGGAGCAGGCAAAGGTGAGGCAGGCTGTAGCTATGACTGTGACGAGAAAGGCTGTGGACCCTCTAAGGGAGGAGGAGGAGGACCAGGAGAAGGTGTAAGACCAAGAACCTGCTGCAGGAGCG